ATTAGAAGAAAATAAAGTGATTAAACCCTTAATAGCATTCCGAAAATGTTGAAATGCAAATGCTAAGTGGAAGTTGCATTGAGCTGAGAGATTTTGGAAATGCTAACTTTGGCTTAAATGCCTTTTGGGGTGTGTTACCAAACACCTTAATTTTGGCACGAGGACCTTGAGAGGCCCAAAGTTTATTGAAAAAGATGAATCAAATGCACCCAAAGTGGGATTGTATTACCAAACACCTCAATTTTAGCATGAGGACCTTGGGAGGCTCAAAGTCCATTGAAAAAGCGGAACCAAATGCACCCTAAGTGATGGGGACATTAAAGAAGAGGTAGGGGCAACTTTGGAATAAGATGGGCGGTTGGGTAAAGAAAGTATTGGTGTGAGATGGAATCTAGTGACCAAATGTAAAAATGAGTATGCAAAGATGTATTTTTGAAAAATATAAGATGCAAAGTGGCATGGAGTCGAAGGGGAAATTGGTAATTGGTATATTCCCTAAATTATATAATGAGGACAAATTAAAAAAAATTTGTGTGGCTATTAAAGTATGTGGACTGAGCTCATCTATATTATTGATCAGTAAGTGTAAATAGAACCCACATTATCAATGACCCGAATAACTTTAATCCGCATGGTCAATAGATTATGCAATACCAACTCATGAAACTTAATGGAGCCCCCAAGACAGGCCCACGCAGATCAATAGATTATACAATACCAAGTCGCCAGTCCATGGAATTCGTCGTTGGATTTGGATAAATATTCTTTCAACGACAGAGCAAGTGTTCTATTTACTTAGTACATATAATAAACTGAATCTAAACCGTCAAATCCGATAGGATCTCCACAAGAACGTGAATGAATGGACCAGGAGTCGGCCATGCTTTTTCACCAGAGCATCACTGTGTTTTTTTTTTCTTTTTTCTGATGACCAGACCGACCCATGTGAAGCACGTTTCCGAATATAAACTCAAATAAAGAAGAGACTCTTCAAAGGAAAAAAGAGAGAAGAAAAAGAGAAAGAAATTAAAGGGGGAAAGAAAAGACCCACTAGACTAAAGCAGAGGAATAAGGGATTATAAAGAAGAAGATAGCATGCAAAATTGCACGGCGGTCCATTGCTCCCCGTTGGTCAAAAGAATATCTGTCAACTTTCTGTTGACATAATGTTCTCTTGTTGAATTTGTTGCGCGGTACAGCAAAATCAAACGGCTGAGAATGGAAATTTTTTTAAAAATTGAAAAGCATATTCTTTTAAACATCTAAAAATGACTTTTAAGGCCACTCGAACCAGTGAAAATATTTCCTAAATAACTTACTAATCACAAATGTACCGGTTTGGAGTTTTTGGTTATCAAAAAATTATTTTGGGATAAATTAGTCACAGATGTACCAATTTGGGATTTTTTTGTGGTAAAAAAATTAATTTTTGGTAAATTTATCACATGCGTACTAGTTTATAATTTTTCATGGTGTTAACCCTTTGATATACTAATAAAATACTTGTGCAATGGGTTTGCAACTAATCTCCTGATTTTTAGAAAAAAAATGTTTCAAAACTTGTAAAACAGGTTCACATGAATATTTTTTATTTGCTAACTGAATCTGCCATCAATATAAATATCGTACATTTGTTTCATCGAAAATGAACAATTTAAAAAAAGATTTCATAAAATTGTTCACTTGTATTGTTCACGAATTGCTAAAAAGAAGGACACAACGGCTTGAAAATTCAATGTCTCATTCAATTTTGCCCAAGCCCTTACTACCTTCCCACCGTGCCATGACCTCTCTCATTCGTCAATTGTCATTGTCGTTGTACTATGTGGGACACGCATCATTGACATTCGAAAGCTATGTAGACTGTGTACCCAAATGTAAGTGGTCGAGTTGCAGCAGCAATAATAGTTCTGATTGATGCAGTTCTGTGCCCGTCCCACTGATCACAGCTTACTATCCGAAAAATTATCCCAAAATTTTTAAATTTATTACACTTATATCAATTTAATCCTAAACATTTCAATTTTATCAATTTAATCTTAAATATTTTCATATTTTGCCAATCGAATACATCCGAACAATTTTGGCCGAAAACCATTGACGTGAATGCCGGTCATCCTTTATGGCACGACCAGCACTGACGCAGACTATTTTAAATATTATTTTAATATTTTTTTCGAATTTTATTTGTTTTCCTCTTTTTCTTTTCTTTGTTTTTTTTTGTTAACTCTGGCCGGCAAGGGCCGCACTATCCTTGCCGGTCAAAGCAAGGGCACTCGAGCCCTCACCCAGATCTAGCAAGGGCGTCAATCTGGGCGATGTGAGGGCTTGGCGGCCCTTGCCTAGTGGCTGGCGAGGGTTGTGACTCCCTTGCCTAGAGTTGGTGAGGGTTGGGCGACATCCCTTGCTAGCTAGAGTTAACAAAATCAATCAATCAATCTATCAAAAAAATATTAAAATATTTATTAAACATAGTCCACGTCAACGCCGGTCGTGTCACATAAGACGGTCGGCGTCCACGTCAGTAATTTTGGTCAAAATTTGCCGGATGGACTCAATTGGCAAAACTTGAAAAAGGTTTAAGACTCAATTGGCAAAATTGAAAGGTTTAAGACTGAATTAACAAAAATGCAATATGTTTATGACTTTGTTAACAATTCTCACGCATATCACAGCCATGAATTTGAATGATAACCAATGATTTCATGTTGTAACACTTGTTATTGATGTGGTTCCTCATGCGTGGATAATGTCTATTAGATTTTCAAACCAAAAATTGTAGATGATTGCATGAGGAACGCCCTCGACTGTGCAGGCAAGAGCCGCGCTCGCCTAGGTGAGCGAGGGTGACTCTCGCCTAATCCTCGTCAGCCCCAGCGAGGGCAGCGCTTGCCCATCTAGGCGAGGGCGACCCTCGCCCGAGGTCGACGACCTCTGCCGGCCATCGACGAAGCGCGGCGATGGTCAAGGAGGAAAAAAGAAAAAAAGAAAAGAAAAAGAGAAGGCAAGTAAAAAAATAAAAAAAATTTAAAAATTTATACTTAAATTTTTTTTTACTTGAATACCCCTTTTCCGACGGTCGGAATAGTCACATATTGGTCAACCGGCCAAAAGTCCTTACTTGGGATGATTTGGCTATTTCGGACTCTTATTTGAAACAAGGTCAACTTCATGTCTTTATTTAAGAAAATGAGGGCATATAAAATTTTCCCTAACATAAATTTATCAATCAAGGGCCGATGTTTTAGATGTACTTATTGAATACTTGGAACAAAGGTGGTCTAGATTTTTAATGCATAGTGTCTAATAAATGAGACCGTAGAAAATGAGTTACGATTTTATATTAAATCAAAACAAAACGTAAAACAAAGTGAAAAACAAATCACGCTCAATAGCATAGCACATTGACTATATTTACTTACTAAACCATACACTCAATAGCATTTAGAAAGTCCCTAAATGTTATGATTAATACTATAAAAAATCCCAAACTAGTACACCCATGCTACATTTATCTCAAACTAATTTTCATGTCACAAAAATCCAAAGTTAGTCTATCCATGCCACTTTCATCTTAAACTAATTTTCATGTCATAAAATATCCAAGACTAGTACATACGTGACAAATCTACCATCTATTAACTTCCGTCCAATATCCCTGTTAAACTACTAGCGGGGAAACACACGTGACAAACCACTTGAATGATCGACATATGACGTGGATCTAACGTGGAAATTCAACATCAATGGATAATATAAACGATATCGTTTTTGAGAAGCACGATATGAAGAAATGAATTGAGATTGGGAAATCATCTAATATCTATTAATTTTGCCCCTAGAGCTCCCTCACGTTTAGAAAATTTGCTAAAATACCTAATATTGCCCCAATTTTGCCCTAAGATTATGGTAGATTTGTCAAGATTATGCCGGTGTTGGATTATTTGTGACACCAAAATTAATTGGAGTAAATGTTGCACGAGTGTAACCGTCTAAAATTTTTCTTACACCAAAATTTGTTAGGGGTAATGTGCACGGATATACCGGTTTGAGATTATTTATGACACGAAAATAGTTTTTGATAAATGTGGCACAGGAAGCAGATAAATCAATTAGAGGGGGTAGGAGTTACATATTTGATTTGTCGTTGATAGAAAATAATGTCAAATTTCTTCAATTAGTTGTAAGTTGTTTAGGTGACAGCACACTTTGTGGAGAATGTAATAAGAACGATTTTCTTGCATTGAAGAGAAGACATTTCTAACTATTTAGAATTGTGGGTGTCAAGTTTTTAAGCGTAGTATAGCATAATTGTTCAATCGGGCAAAACTATTGAACTGGTTGATTTTTTTTTTTATCTATCATATTCTAACTCTCAACTTACTCTCAGATTTTTGCCTTATCTCTTACAGAACATGGGAGTCGAAATCCACATTTGAAACTACACGTCTCCACCCCTAACCCTCTAAGAAGGTGGGAAATCGAACTTCCCACCTCCACTTTCCCAAGTAGAAAGGGTGGCTATAGGGGCAAACCCAATGATTGAATTGCTTGGTTAAATATCATACTTTTAGGTAAGTCTGCAAAAGACATTTTATAACTTTTGTGCTGGTCAGAATCGTAGTTACACTCAGGTGGAAGAATAAGGTATGCACATATTTCCATGTCAATTGATGCTAATGGCACTGTATAACGATAGATATACAAAACATAACACCAAATTATTGCTTCTAAAAAGACGCACGGCCACAACAAATGAGTTCTGGACAGCCAAGCTTTTGAAACTAATCGCTGTGAACAAATAGCTAGCTGTCTCAACTTGCAGTCTCTCGAAATTTCATATTCTTTTGTATTTCTCATCAAACAATTGACATCTTCTTTTAAAAATGCTACCTAATCTGAGCTTGATACTTCGGAGTTTGTAACCCGCGTTATTCGTGGACATTTAGCCATCATTGAGGAGAGAAATTTTATCCGTTTTGCTGTACACCGAACCAAAGGAGACAAGATTAACTCCTCTTGAATTTCAATAATGTGATCTAAATTACTCATTAACAAAAATTCGAAATAAAGACTTTGCGTTCTAATCTACTCTCATATGCTTTCATCCAAGAGTACATCTCGGGAGTTTACCATCAAACAAGTAAAGTCCTCATTTATGTGTAAGACAATTTCATAAGACCGTACTAGTAATCGAGCTACTGACAATCTCGCGACCATGAAGGTCTAAGGTCGAGGCTCAGTAGCTATCCACTTATAGAGTCCTTTAGGAACATAAGTAGATCTTGTAACCTTGCTCAAATGAGTATTCCAAGAAGCATTCTACTTGCACATCCAAATATCCTCTTTCTGCAAAAAATGATGGCCAAAATCAGATGAAAATCATGAAATTACACTCTCAAACACACGCGCGCCCGCACGACACACAATTGCTACTTGACTCAAAAGGTTCTCAAGAAGATCAAAATATCTGGTTAGATGTTACAGTTTTTCTTGAGAGAGGGAGGATTCACATGCTTATTTGTATATGCATAGTAGGTTTTTCATTGAAGGAGAATTAGGAAATGAAACTGTTGGAGCTAAACTTTCTAGCTTCCCATGGACACAGCAAGTACCTAAGATAAAGGAGACAGATGCGATCTACAAATGGATTGTTACAAGGCTCAGTGCACAAAACATCTCGGTCTTGAGTAGGCAAATGCTATATGAAAATTTCGGTTTCTGCTTACGGTGGTCCGAAACTCAAATTCGAGAACAAGGGGTTACCTGAAGAATCGTCAGCTGAGAAGAGAGTCCTGGTGTCACCACCATTACGATCGTTCTCGCCATTTCTTGATCTCTCGCCTAAGAAAGGTTTGGCCGAATCAGTGGAGCTGATAAAACTGCCCATCATCTGAGCAATTCAAGAGGCTCCTTGTTCACAGACCAGTGGGGTGTCCTAAGGCTTCAAATTTATTGCTGCTGTGGACGGAGAATAGCGGTTCTCAACACATCTTTAAATAGAGACGAAAAGTCTACCCCTCTATTAGATATCTATAGAGGTTTAGATCGTGGGCAGAAATTGACTTCTTTGGACCCCGGAGGATTAACAGTTCGAAGTGCATTGGATGTACTGGACCTTTCAGCAATTCATGTGAGAATTGGTAGGGGCTAAGTGAGGAGGTAGGTCCACCAGACCAACACAATTACTTAATTTCGAAGGATCCAAATCTTTTTTTTTTTTTTGGTAACCCAGGGAACCCCCGCACAGCCGACAGCCGGGAGGTAAACCTTGGGGGCGACATGTGCTAGCCACCACACACGTGCACCGGTTAAGTCACCCTGCGGCGCCCGGGATTCGAACACTCAACTTTTTTGCGAGAGGAAGAGTGCCCTTTCCAGCAGCGCCACCCAGGCGGGTGGTGAAGGATCCAAATCTTCATAATTATATTTGCCAATAATTAAATCTTTTCTAGAAAAATGTCTCTTCATTTACGGTGTTATCACATGCATTATCATTTATGATTACATGCTCAAAAACTACGATGAATGTCAATACATGATTGGTTTGAGATATCAAAAGCCAAGATATTACAAGTATGATGTATTAAATTATTTACATACTAAATCATTACTTCATCTAATAGTTTAATTTTTAGAATAGTTTGTAGAGGTCCAACGAAATGTCAGAAACTATTAGAGTAGAATATCCAGGGTTCAGATATTTTAGGTCTCAAATATGGCTCCCCAAATATATTTCCACACCAAAGTCTTTGGGCAAAGTCCAAATTACACGTGAAGAAAAATGTTAGAATGTTACAATATTAAGTTACGCCTTTTTATTTATCAACTTAAGGGCGCATTTGATTCACTGAAAACTTCATGATAAAGGAAAATATTGTTTCCATGGAAATCATTTTTAAGGAAAATGGTTAATTTTCATTTGATTGGTGGTTTAAGGAAAGTGATTTCCCCCTTGCTAGAAGGTGACCATGCTTTCCTCCAACCTAAGCTCTCGTCAATAGAAAACGTTATTCGTACATCGAATAATTTTTTTGTCATCCAAACACCGGAAAGTCGAATAATAATTTCCCGGAAACAGTTTTCCTTTGAGCAAATTGACCCTAAACTTTAAATAAAGTTGGTATGGTCCCACAAAATTTTACATGATGAAATAACTTTTCACGAAATACTCTCTTGTATTAGCAACTTAGGTTCTAAATGAAGAGACTTTTCTCTAGGGTGAACCGCATGCATATATTCATGGGCACACCAATAAAAATAACGGCTTCAATCAAACACCCTTTAAGTAGCTCCGACACTGACATGCGAGACGATATGACAGACCGACACGTCATTTCTCAAAAAATAGAGAATTCCGACATATTGGGACACATTGCATATTAAATGTATATTTTCATATACACATGATAAATTACCATTTTTATGATTATTTCAATCATATTAATATGATTCAAATTTATAAATAAATAAATAATAAAAAAAAAAGAGTGTTGGACGAACATTGGTGTCTGACACATATCCGACACTAACACAATGACTTCAGGAGAGTGTCCGTGCTTCATGGAACACCCCCATGAGCATTGGATGCCATCTCTCGTGACGATGCTTGGATAAATCATTTGGACTTTCTACACCATGAAATTGGGAGAGTCTGAAGTTCGATTTGTTACGTTGGTAACTCTTTTTTGAAGGAGATTTTTGAAGGAGATACTCCCTCAAGAATCACAAATTATTATAATCATCCTGTATGGTCCGATCAAGAATGACTATAACAGCTTTGGGGGTAAAGGGTCTGTCGGTGAAAGATGCCGACAACACCACATGTTTAGGTTTAGTTTGGTACAGTGTAGTCATACATGTGATATCATACGTTAAGCGTACATGTGAAAGTCTAAGGGGTGAGGACGCTAGTATCATAGGTACAGAATTCGACTCCCGCGCTCTGCAAGAGGCAGACCAAAAGGTAAGAAAAAGAGAAAAGCTAGAGATATGATAGATAAAAAAATATAAAAAAAAATTATCCCTTCAAAATCCCAGCTGTCCTTTCTAAATATGGCGGATGAGGAATCATGATGAATTGTAACCCTTTTATAATTAATCGCGACCCTTACGCAAAATATGATAACACGCGAAAATACGAAGATTTTATGATTGATAAGCGAGGTTTTGCTCCTTTTGTTCAGCGGACAGTCATCGAAACATCGAGATCCATTTCTCAAGAATGCATCAGATGAATACCCGTCCGTGTGGCGCCTTGTTTCTTCAACATAAGATGGACTTGGCGTGCAACACAATTAACTGGTCATAAGATATTGTTTCCACGCTTTAGTATCAAACCACGCTTCATTTATCAGCCTGATCTTTTAGAACGGTGAGGATCCGAAAAAACCTTACACGAAATACTTTTTTTTACATCAGCAACTTCGGTTCTCAGGAACATTATCAACGAAAGAGACAGATAACAGCTCGAATGACAAGAGACCCTATGAGCATTGGATGCCCATCTCCCACGGGACGATGCTTTGACAAAATCGTGTAGACTTGTCCATCATGAGTTGTACGTGTCAATTTCAAATCCTTGAGAAACAACTCATCGTGCAGCCTTCGCGACTCTCCGGAACGTGATACACGGGACGCAGGTGGCACGCAGCGCAGTTCACGTGGCCTGGCCTCCAATTCGTCCACATCAATCGTTGTTCTCCATTTCGATTCGAAGCTGAATTACCGAGTCGTGTCTCGATTGTGACTTGGATTTTCATACCGATGTGATTTGTGACCCGATCCAACCTTTTTTTGTCGGCAACCTGATTTGGGGATTGATTTTTTTGTATGGTTTTAGGTGGGAGTGGAAACCCTCGTGGTAGCGACGGGTTGGCTTGTTTTGTTTTCCCATGTAGGGCTTTGCGGTTGCGTTTGAGTTACTTTGGCTGTTCGGATTAGAGATCGGATAAGATTAATAATGGTGGCATCCGGCGTATCGTGGCGTGCTTCGAGCCAAACAAAGTTCAGATCCCGAAAAAGTTAATTGAGATGTACGTTAGGATAAAATTATGAAGCTTTGCTAAGAGAGAGAATACAAACTCTAGAAAGGGAAATAATAAACAGAGTTCCTTCTTGTTGAAAGAAAGAAGTACAGATGCCACTGTGGCGTGACTGACCACCATTGCAAGGTGGTTGTTGCATCGCCTTCCAAGCAACCACCAATGTGGTGATGGCTTGAGTCTCTCTCGTGCGCGCACACACAAAATGGTATCAAGCGACTAAGGCAACCATCACGGGGTAGTATGTCACGCCCCGCACTCCTCGGCGCGCCACATCCCTCGCAAAGGTCGATTCGTGTGCGACGTCCCAGGACGCGTCGCCGACCCAACACCCAACACAGAGATTTAAAGCACATGCGGAAGTAATTAAAACCACCCGTACATTAAAATACACCTGACCAAGGATAGCCATACAACAACCAGCACGGATAAATATACACTTGTTTTGACATTGGAAAACATATACAATATTCATATACAGCCCACACTCAAAAATCAAAAGCGGGTACGTGGCTCGGCGATCAAACACTATATCTAGCCGGGGCTCCTCCCAAAACGTTTCAATACGCCTGCCATCCTCAAGGCCGGGGGTCTGAAAAATTAGGTTTCAACAACAGTGAGAATAATCTCAGCGAGTAATTCCCTAAACCTAAATTAGGCTAAAGTGCACCTCCTGACGAGTACTAAATCAACACCCCAAGCAAATCATAATTGACTTAGGCCCTCGGGCCCAAATCCAACACTCACCTTGCCCTGCAGGTTAGGCACTTACAATTCAAGCATAAAACATAGGACCCAGTCGCAGCACATGTACACATCATTTGGTCACAACGCATGTCATGCTTATGCTCGTGGTCATACGCGTGCTCACGCCTCATCAATGCATTTTCGCACGCTTGCACTCTAGCATACTTGCCATTTATCAATTTCTCCTCCGACCCGCGTTAAACGCATCAGGTCCGACCCGCATAAAACGCATCAGGTCCATCACTATCCAACACTTCCTGGCCCGCGTAAACGCATCAGGCCCAGTGTCTCTAGCCCGCGTAAACGCATCAGGCGCAACACCGATCTCCATATACGGACCGAACCCGCGTAAACGCATCAGGTTGGCCGTCTTCCGGCAATCCGGGCATCGTCCCGCGTTAAACGCCTCAGGACGGGTTCACTACCCCGCGTAAAACGCATCAGGGTTTATTGTGATCACACATTCACAAGCACCAATTTTCATCTGAACCCCGCGTTAAACGCATCAGGGCATTTTAGGTGATCACAATGCACATGTCACTCGAGCACACTTGTAAATGCACATGCCGTGCCAATGCTCGTGATGCAAACTCATGGCTATAACGTTCACATATGGGCATTCACTTGCACCGCACCACTTACTCAAATCACGATGCAATCATGCGCATTTGCACCACGCATATTCAATTTCATAAATCAACATGCCCAATCAGACAATCAATTCAAATCAGCCATGGCATCAACTTGACACACAATCCATGCACAATCCACACAACCGGGATAACAAGAACCCTCGCATTCGAGGCCCGCCAAGCTATTCCATTCTTAGTCCCGCTAAACAAGCAACATGGCATCCTAAAATCAATCACAACAAGACTCATTTAGCTAGTCAATTGATCAATGCGATCATTCCCGGTAATCACACAATTAACCTCCAAATTGATCGCTCATAGACCAATTCAAACCCGGTATGGACAGCCACCAAACAGATCGTCCTAGGCCAACAAATGTCTTCAAAACACTCCATTTGACTCCCCAAAATATCACCCAAATCAGCCACCATGAGGACCAAATGAGGCGCGCACTATAATCCACATTTGAACCCGAAATCAACCCCAAACTCGGGCCGAATCATTCCAATACTTTCAGCCTTCATGCAGCACATTCCAAGTCATTACACCTCATTAAAATGATCCCGTTAGACCACCAAAACCGCCATGAAAACAGCCGCTATTCGGTCTTCAATTTACACCCGCCAAATTCACAATTTCGCCCAATTTGAGG